ATATTTTTAACATTTTACATGTAAAGTGATCACGAGTAGCTGTCATGAATCTGCTATTGCAGACCCGGTCACGTCAACTGGTCATAACTTAAAATGGGACCACTTTGACATATTAGCAAACGGTCGGTCGGATACACATTGCAGGATAAAGGAGACTGCTAATTCGGGAATTGAAACCTATCTACCAGCTTCTGTAATTTTTGTTGTTCATTAGTTACCTATCTTAAATTTAAGATTTAGTTGTTACTTCTATTCTCAACGGTCACTTCTGGAGATGCATGTCGAAACATACGAAAGGTCAAGTAAAAAGATATAGTTTTTGTTTTCCAACAATGCGTTTTATTGTCATGTTCATCACCATGTCAGAAGCGCAATTGTTTCCGAAAGTTTCGTTCGATGACTACAATGAAGTTTGTTCTCTTATTGTAGTCTTCCGATATATTTGGTTTAGGAACTGCTGGAGATAAGCTGACTTATCATGATGGCCGTAAATTCTCTACACAAGATCATGATAACGACGTATCTTCTTCTTATATTTGGTTTAGGCACTGCTGGAGATTTTCTGGCTCGTCATAACCGCCATAAATTCTCTACAAAGGATCAGGATAACGACCCATCTCGCGTTAACTGTGCCGCACAACGGCAAGTGCAAGGAACCTGGTGGTACTTTCATTGTAGAGATAGCAACCTTAATGGTGTCTATCGAAACGAAGAGGACAATGGTACTATGTTATGGAGTAGCATTCACCCCATTAAGAGAGCTGAAATGAAGATCAGACCGATAGATTTTTAGCATCGGCGCCTGATACCATCTCTTCTACTTCTCAATGCAATTGCATACCTCAAATTAGTTAACACAAGTACGTACAGGTAGTAACAGCCTTTAAAGATTTAGGATAAACTATGCCATGTACAAGAAAATTACAATTGCAAGTTGTGATTTTGAAAAACATTTTAAGGCCACCTTGACAAGGACCGGGTCGGCCGTGTTTACCAGAAAAAATGTCTAAAACATCTGTTGGAAAGACGGGAGGAGATGCTCAACATAGTTTTTGCCTCTTCTATACACCATTTTTGACATAAAGGTAACCCTTTCATATGTATCTTCCAAAGAAAATGGTACTCCTTTCAAATTCCCTAAAAAATGTCCTGCTGAAATCTTTCGACCCAAGAAAGGTCCACTAGGAAATTTTTACCCCCAAAAATCCCCTTAACATTAATTTAAAACTCACTGAAAAAGGACACCATTGTGACCTGAAAGGGATATTTTGAAACACTCTTTTTCAAAAAATCTTAAGTTATTATACTTCAACTCGTAAAAGCATTTCCCTTTTATATACCTCCAGCTTGAAAAATGGACCCCTGTTTGGGCGTAGCCTCCACGGCCGAATAGTCAATTATGGGGAGTTCCTCCGGACCCGGCTGAGACGTAATGGTGTCTGACCCACTGAGTTACGGGCGATGGTCATATTTGTAAGAAGATCAATAACACGTTTTATTTCACTACTCATGGCCTCAGTATTATTTCTATGGGGCGTCATAGTTCTTTTAGGCTAATACGGCCATTGGTTTGATTTGCTTGCGATTGCGCATTTGTGATAGATGTTATAGATAAAAGCACCCAGGAGCCGAGGAGATAACTTGAACAGAAGCCGAGACTGAGAAAAAATCATGTTATCGTGTGTTATCGTGTTGCTAGCTAGCCTGGGTTTTTACGCAACCCTTCTCTTTGCTAACTGCCGTCAGTATGGAATAAACTGTTGTATGATTGAAATGCAAAACGATTGTTATATATCACTGCCATCGTATATGGCGAAGCCTCCGGATGTAAATTCTATTTCTCAACTTAACTGTTCAGCATTGTACATTTAGGCTCAAACTTTAACACATTAAGATAAGCTTCACTTAAGGTTTGTACGTCTTTGGTTACTTACAATATGATCAGTTTCGAGAATTTATACGAGTGAATTTTAAGACAGAAACAGATCATGCAGTCAAGAAATCAACTTCTGCTTACATGCTTTGGCATAATTTGTGCCGCTGATAAGGAAACAGTTGTATTTGTATGGTGGTGATATTCCGTATAGCTTAATTTGTAACTTGTCTGCTAAGGGAGATTTGAAATGGACCCAGAGATGGCGCAGGAGCCATGTTAACTGAATGAGCGTGCTAGTAATTTTAAGGTAGACAGGCAAAATGGTCATTCTTCCAACGCTGAATTGTTTCCATAAATTCAAGTATTGCCACAGCTTTACCTTTGAGTGTATGTGATCAGCAGACCATGTACAACCAAAACCTTTGGCCAAAAACTGTTAGTAAAATGGTGCCAGATCCTCTTAAGCCCCTTCAGAACACAAGTATGAGATTTCCACAAACCTTTTTTATGAGGAAAATACACAAAGCGTCATGGCCTCATAGTTAGTGCGCTCTACTCCGGATCGAGGGGTCCTGGTTCGAGCCCTGGCCGGTGACATTGTGTTGTGTTCTTGGGCAAGACACTTTACTCTCACAGTGCCTCTCTTCACCCAGGTGTATAAATGGGTACCAGCGAATTTAATGCTGGGGGGATAACCCTGCGATGGACTAGCATCCCATCCTGGGGGTAGTAGAAATACTCCTGGTCGCTTCATGCTCCTGAAAGCGGGATAAGCTCCGGCCTGATAAGCCACTCGGCTGGTATGCAGACTTTACCTTTTTTACCTATACAAAGCCATGACCACATTTTGAAGTGAAATGACTGACCTGAGTAGTACTGTTGAACAACCCACTTCTTTTAAGGTTCAGTTCACACCTCGAGGTGCAATCGACAAAATCTAATGAAAGAGTTTCACAGAATACATGGTGAATTTAAGACTCAATATTTGCAGATTGCTCAAGCAAGTTGTTGCTGACACTCCTAATAATATGGACGCAATAATTTCTATATTCTGATTGGCTAAGAACACGTCAATTAATCCCAAGTCAGTGCAATTTCATCAGTGCAGAAAAGTAAAATTGAGTGCAAAATGATGAAATTGAAAATGATTGAAAGCTCGGATAAAGTTGAGCTTGGACAGACAAAATGGCGGACAAAAATAGACGATGATTGAAGTTCTTTATCTGAATTTTGATACAAAGACTTCATTACAAAGCCAAGTGGTGAGGACAAAAACATAAACTAACCTTGAAGTGAAATATGCCGGAGCCGAACACGACGCCAGTACAAAATCCCAGTTGAGAAATACAGGTTAAAATTATTCTGTATTTCGAGGCAAAACACGAAGAAGGACCCAAAAAGACGTCGCCGGAGCCTTCACATCTTATTTTTGAAGACGAGAGGTTCAAGCATTCTACTTTTGTGAAAGAAATAAGCTTAGAGATTAGGTAAGATCGTTCATCAGCAAAACGCGGCAAAAGCTTCAAGAGGCAAATCTAACCTGCGGAACGCCCAATGCTTGGTTGATTTTAGCTTCGTTTCTCGCTGTTTTGGTAAGTAACTTGCGCTGGGTTGAAGAGTTTCTTCTCGGCGAAGATAAACACGCACAGACTTTTTCATCCACTCTGTCCATTTCTTAAATTAAACACAAGCGAGTTTTATTATCTGGATGAACTGTACGGTAATGAACTAGTGTTCGTACTCAGTTTTGTCTCTTCAAAAACACTGATGTAGAAACTGCAGAGCAATTTATCCGTCCTTCTGTACACAAGGTATGTTTGTGATTTCTCTGGTTTAACAAACTTCTCCCAGAAACTCAGGAAACTCGAAGAAAACATTTATATCGTATTTTGTTTTCTTCGCGTTGCCGGTTTTCTTGCTTTTGACCCACGAGGAATTCTTTAATGCTTTCCACTAAAAGAAGTTTCGCCTCAAGCCTGTTTGCTTATTCCAAAGGTTAATTATCGGACAGTTCATCCAAAAAGTTGTTTTCTTGACCGCTTGTTTGCTTGTTGTTGGGTTCTGAGAGGTCCTGAGAAAGTTGTGAGCTTCTTCATTTGCGAGGAGTGTTGACTTTCGTAGTGAGTCAACTGGCGATTGAAGTAGTTCTGCATCGGACAGTTCGCCTGGATAGTAAAATTCACTCTCAGAATGTTCACTTTCATCACTCATTTTGAAGAGAACAAAGTTTTGCAGCAACAAAATTGTTTTTGTCATTAACTTGCATCGATTTTGCCGAGCGCGTTTCTAGTGGGGCCGTACGCATTGCTAGTAGGGCCTTGCGCGTTTATCCGGCCCTATCACTTCCACGCGTACGGCCCTCATACGGGACCATTTTTCTTACGGTTTTCCATGGAAATTGCGCGCGGGGCCGTACGGGTCATATGACAATACTGTGTTCCCAGTTAGCCCATACCCCGCTAGAAGTATTTGACGTAATAAATCAAACACGAGAGACAGTGGTTCATCGCGATGTCCAAACACCGAGAATGGAGTTGAAAATGCGACACGCAGCAGAGTATTTTTGACGAAATTCGAGGTGTTTGGATTGCCGATGAAACACTGTGTCTAGTGCTTGATATATCTTCTCAGTCGACACAAAAACTAAGGCGTAAACGGAGAGATAAAACCGTCAAAATCTATGCTAATTAAGACCGGGTATCCACACCTCCTTCACGGTTGTGATTTTCTTTGTTTTAACTTGATGAATTATTAATAAGTTTGAGAAACGTAAATTAAGTTTCTTACTTACTTTACTAGTGATAACAATCAGAACGTTAAGAAAGTGATCTTCTTTATTGCATTTGTTTGTTTCTTAATTTATATTAACGCCGTAAACATCCCGGTGAATAAATGTTCATCACGATATCGATATGTGCTGAAGGTACTTGAGAAAAATGAATCATAGTTTTCATATGATCGCTGTCATCGCTACTATACGATCACCAAACAAAAACGTTCAGCAATCGTTGTGATCATATGAAAACAACTCTCCATCGATACTACTCGATCTATCATGCGATTTTATCGCTAGATTAAAAAAACAGTTACGACTGTCATAAAAAAATTAAAAAAAACTATGAAGGACATTATTAAAACCTGGATCATTGGATGATTCAGCTGAAGAGTTTTCGTTGGCTTAGCCGTCATGGCACATGCTGAGTTCTTATAAATGAGTCCCATGGCGCAACAAGGAGTGATGATGACAGAGATTCGAAGCTCAGTAATTCACTTTTACTTCGTCTCTTAAAAAGGCTTTCAAGCAAGCTTCGTAAACCGACACCAACACAAACTCAATCACAACAGTCGAACATGTAACTGTAACCAAGCGCGGGAAAAAACCACGTGACCAAGTTGTCTATTGACTTTGGTTACACATCTCATTGGTGGAGTACGCTTAGGTGGCGCGAGCTGTGTTAAGCCAATCAAAGGGCGTTGTAAAAGCAATTGCGGAACACTTTCGAAACTATTTTGAAGCTACTGTTAAATTTCAAATTGCAGTGTGGAGGGACCATATGCATTTTAATCGACTTGGAGTGCAAGAGCTTTGGCCATCAACCTGTCTGTCATAGGTGCTTTATCTTTTTTGGCTTTTCTCTCAGCAAGGAGGCATCTGAAATTGAAACGCAAATATTTTGAATAAAAGGCGCACGGTCGCTCAGGCCTCGAAGAAGAACGCAGGTGTACCTACATGTAACTGTGCAAAGAAAAATCGTTCGAACACGAAGTCGACTAATTTTATGAACTCTCTTTGGTTTAAAGAACTCCAAGCCGAATCATAAGGAATGAGAATCAAACTGGATAAACGACCCTGTGTTGTACAGGTAAGATTAAACTAATTAAAACTACCAACTCCATACTCGTCCTCGTTGCCAAACCCCGCTTCCTGTTATTTGATAAGCTCCGTTCTACTACAAAATGAAATTACTTTTGACTTTTCTTCGACAATGTTTTACTGCAGAGCCCCTTTAACTTGATCATTAGCAGCCTTTTGTATAACAGTAGTAGTCATATTCTTATTTACAAACAGCTATTTTGGCCACTTTTTGATGGCCCTTGTCTCAATTTAACAATTAAAATGCAAGAACTAAGAGGATCGGAGTAATCAAAACATGTAACTGCCGACAGATAAGGTAGTTGTATCAACCAAGAGGTGTTAATAAAAGCAGGGTGTACCATTTGAAAACAACCACTAGTTAGAAGACGGTGTCCCTTTTAAACAGGGCCAGTCTGCGGGTTTGTGCTAGGTTAGTTTGGGCGGAGAATTGTGCAGGCAATTAAGAAAGAAGGCCTAAGTTCCCCTGGAGTTAAAGGGTTGACATAAAAAGGGAAATGCACAAAATGCCGCTGAAATGCTTTGCGGGTCCATCTCCTTCTGCCAACGTGTACACTCGACTAGCAAACTTAAAGGAGCTTAGTCGCAGCATTTTGAGTTATCTTAACCACTTACAAAACTACCTTTAAATGGAAGGAAATCTGAAAATAGTGCTTTGTTAAGATAGAAAAACACCAAAGAGCTAATATTAAACCACAAAGGAACAAGGATGGTTAAGAATGGAGAAGATTGACACGGATTGCAAACGACGAACTTGAAAAATTTAAGCTTAACTATTCAAGACGCGCAAACGGCGACGTTGTTCCTGTACATGAATGCTGCATACACACATAATAGGCCTCGTTCGATATATCAAAATTCTAACATGGCTCCGGGACAAACTTCTATATTCGGTGGTGTTTTCTAGGTGTCCAAGTCTCTTTTGGGAATTGAGAGACAAAAGGAACTTAACAAATTAGCAATTTTGTCGTGAAAGCCTCTGAGCAATGTTAGAATATTGATATCTCGAATGTGGCCTATTGTACATCCTTGTGCAATGGGCTGCTGTATGTATCTAAATGGTGGAACACGCGTAACGTGATGAAGGCTTAGCACGACAAAAGACACTGTAAAGTTACGAGAGAAGGGACGTACCCACGTGGATAAAATTTTACCTGACATATTGATGATCTTCTTTACGTTGGGACTGCATAGCAGCATTAATCAAAAACAGCTCGTAAACATCACGCTAGAATAGATACAACCATGCTATTAGTAATCGGCAACCCCTAAAGATATTTGCTCATTATCAGTTGAAAAGCAACATAGCAAATTGCACTTTAACAAACGACCTGCATGTATGTAGTCACGATACAACAAACCCGATGAACGCAACTAAAAAATTGAATGGCACTTCGACTACAGCGATTAACACATATTTTTTTGAAGTCTGGGAAAATAGGCTCCGGTATCTTAGGGTAGTTATTAGCAAATTAGGCTAAGTTGGTTCTTAATTAGTGTCTTAATCTCTATGAAGGAGAAATAGTTGTTAATTACCAAACAAATAAATAAACTTGGGTTTGGTCCTGAAATAATTTTTTTTTTTTTTTTTAAATTATAGAGTATCTATTCACAACAGTACTGTATTATGACAGGCCTAACACAACTGATTACAGAATGTTTATGTAGTGTTGTTTCTATAACAAGAGTTCATAATTTAACTGTAACCCACATATAAGAACCTGCTTGACCTTGCTTGGCCAAACAGGTTCCTACATTTTGGTTATTAAAATTGCAAATTTCCGCCAGTAGGGTCTTAAACCACCAGGTTCTTACACGCGGATTTTTACTTTAGATGGATCGAAATTCTTACCTACTCTAAAATTTATTTACAAAAACATAACAATTACAGCTACACTGTACAAACACACATACGGTTATCTAAAAACAATTTTACAATAGCTAAATAGATCAGCATATCATAACTTACAAGAACAAACTGACCAATTACTGTTGAACTTTAAGCGAATCTTACGGCTAATACTATCACGACTAAATTAGCCAATCGTTGACAACGGACCGGACTTTCAACACCGTCGACTGAGGAACAACTTTTCAATTCACTCTGAAGATGACTTCCGCTCAGGTTGTAGGGGCAGATCTAGCGGGAGGTTGCAGAAGGTGCGCACCCACTCCCCCCTCTCCCAGATGATTCCGCCTTCTACTTCGTATTTGCTTTAAATTTGTTTACCTCACCAGTCATTTACGCCATTCCTTAGTGGCGCACCCCCTCCTAAGAAAAATCGTGGATCCGCCCATGGATTGTCGAAACGTCAGTTACAACAGCAGTTCTTTCGAGGACGACGCCCACCCGCACGGTTCAGTATCCTTACATAAATATCAAGAGTTTTTAACCAAATTCTCGCCCAAAGAAAAAAACATTTCCAGATTATACTTAGATTTCCCACACAATCAACACAGTTTTCTCACCTGAGCTCGACTTCCACCTAGGAGATCCAATCTGTAGCGCAAAGGTTTTAAAATCTCCACGGCCTTGTCAAAGTTTCCCTGCAAATGAATAACCGTAAACCATGTTACACTTGGTTTGACTTCAACTGAGCCAACTTCACGAGCTACTCTCGCTAAGGGCCTCCACAGATTAGACATTTAGTCGTCAACGACTACTTGTTATCCAAAAACTAAATGTTATCGACAACTAATTGTGTTCGACACGAGCATTCCACACATTGGAGTGGTTGTTGTCGTTGTCTAAGTCAGGTCAGCAAGACCTTAGAAACTAACATTCACTACGCATGCTCAAAACGCAAAACGCACGCTCAAATGTGTGTCATGTTTCGATACTTGTCAACAACTAAACCAATGATTCCCACACACGGAAAAAACGGCCGAACAGTTTGCCTTTTTGAAAAGGGAAACTGCTTTGCTGTCGACAACTCAAGATAAAGCGTTTAGTTGTCTCACACACTACGTTTTTTAGTTGCCGATAACATTTTGTTGTCGATAACAAATAGTTGCCGAAAAAGTGTCTAGTCTGTGGAGGTCCTAAGATGCACACGTACTTTGTCAGCCTCCACAAATGCTTCACACACTGCCAAGCCAACTTCACGAGATACCTCACAATTTGGGCCTGATCCATCTCTGAAAAAAAGGCAAGAAAGTTGAAGGTGAACGTCTTGAGCAAAACCAATCGCGAAACTGAACACATATATTTCATATCGAATAAAACGAATTTGTTGAAAGAAATATGGAAGATTTTTGAGGATACAATTTTAACTAATAATTAAAGTCGGACAACGCTATTATTAAGGAAAATCGTTAAGTGAAATAAGTATGTAGATAAGAATTGACAATATCTATTTTCTTAATTAATTCAATATGGTGTCATTGTTATTGTTAATTTCTGTAAACCAAACTTTATTCATTCTTCTGTAACTTAATTGTTAAAAAAAGAATTGTAATTGTTGTAATTGTAATTGTAGCAATAAATAAATAAATAAATAAATAAATAAATAAATAAATAAATAAATAAATAAAGGCAAAAAAAAAATAATAATCGCGAAACTACAACGTGCCCATGTTTCCACAACCATTTTCATTTCAATCGTAAAAGTTAAGTTTACGTTAGAGCCTAGTGGCCTATCAGGTCGGCACTCATGTCCGCTTTCCATTCAAGGAAAAGACTCGAGGAATTTATACAGCTCACATGCTTATATTGCAGGGTTAGCGCAATCACCAGTCGCCAGTACACCTGGGTTGACAGTGGCACTGTGACAATAAAGTCTTCTTAATGCTAAAATACACCACGCAATAACCGTGAAATATCTCGGGAAGATTTTGAAGGGAAGTGAAATAATAGAACTACTTATGATAAGAGATGAACATTTGTGGAGCTAGTGAGAACGTCTTTCGGGCTAGTACATCATGTACTCGGTTCCACAACGAGCGCTCCGGGCTTAAGCCTTAGCCGGGGACATTGTGTTGTGATCTTGGGCAAGACACTTTACTCTCACGGTCGGCCTCTCTCCACCCAGGTGTATAAATGCGTACCGGCAAATTTAATGCTGGAGGGTAACCCCATGATGGACTAGCATCCCATCCAGGGGGTAGTAGAAATACTCCTAGTCGCTTCATGGTACAGAAACCGGGATAAGCTCCAGCCTGATGGGCCACTTGGCTCGTATGCAGACTTTACTTTCACAGCTTACCCGAAGGAAAAGCCGATTAATTATTTTTTCTTTGTGCCTTGTTAAATACATGTATGTGTACTTGCTACTAACGGTGACATACCTGACAAATTTTCTCAATGAATCTAAAACCTTCATAGTCAGATCTTCATTCTGGGCTCCCAGCGTGCTCATCAGCATGTGACTGTCATTAAATGCCTGGAGAACGTCATTAGAATTAAATTAGCCTCACTTTCTTCACACAAGCAATTAAAAAGAAACCAACAAACAAAGATAGCAGGCTCATCCAACCTATTTAAATCTCGGGTTCCACATCAGGTGGGGACTAGATGCAATATTAGTCCCCCTCAATGGGATGTCTCGCACGCTACAGTTATCTCAAACAACTTTTCAGGTTATTCCCTAACAATTAAGCCAGTGTCAATTCCTTCATAAAAGCAAGTCAAATGGCAAAGCCGGCCGGCTTACATGCATGCAGCCTGATTANAAAAAAACCAATATTTTCCGCTCGAAAATATAATTCATATCTTCACGCGGCCGTGTAATATCCTCTATGCATAGGCTACACAGATATACATGCAACATGTGGGTACATGCCGCAACAAAGGGCGTGGTTTTGACCTGTTTTGCTCTTAAAAATGTTGGGCATGAGAATGAATGAATTAATAATGTATTGACATTATTTTGCTCATCGGCCTTTTCCTCTTCGAATGTAAAAATGTAAAATGTAAATCTTTCTTATAGTGGTCATGCAAGCTTAGCTAGTTTACAGGCATGCCACTAAAACAAAGGAAACAAATATTTCAAACGAAACAAAAATTGCGTTTTTCCAAATGATAGGGTGCAATTCAGCCCAGGTATTGTGCACGACCTTGACCATAGTGTGGAAAGTGATCTAGCTACATGTGGGTCTGAGAAAGGGTCAGGATACAGGCGGTAGGTCCGGGAGGGGATCCTATTTATAAGCTATATGGGTATGTGCTGCTGTGAAGGGTATGGTTTTCAGGCAGTTCAGATAGGGTATAAATATTACGCAGTGAAAACTACAGGGAGTTTTGGTGGCTAGTCTAGAATAGGGTTGCAAAATCAAGCTGATCATGGTCTTGGGAATAGGGTAAGGGGTTCACCGTCCAAGCAGCAAACCCCTACCCTAAATTTATAGAGTATAAAAATGCTAGTAAATAAACTTGTCAATATGAAGAGCCCTCATTCTATGGAAATACCCACTGGCTTTATAGAACCAAGATCAATGTCCCTCCTCTAATACGTACCTTCAAATTTCAGTCTGTACAACAGCGATGAACCATCTGTCAGTGGAAAAGTTTGACTTTTCTTAAATCTTGGCGCAATCTGCAAGTTGGGGAAAGAAAAATTATCAACATATTACAGTAAGGAAACTTTCCGTGAACACTTGAGGTCACTTGAGGGATATTTAGGTAAAAAAAAAAATAACAGGATACAAGATAATTGGGGGAAAAATTAACGGATGTGGGATATTTAGAACAGATATTGTGGGATATCCATTAGGAAAAGTGATAACATTTAAATTGAGTTAACACCACACAGGATATTAAAGCCAAAAATTAACATGATATCGGATACTCAGAAATGCCCCCCCCCCCCCTGCTACCCCGCCTAATGGGGCCTCAATGAAGGCTCTTCAGATATACGCATCCGTTTAGCGTTCTTACAGTGTAAAAAATGCTAGTAAATAAACTTCTCAATATGAAGAGCCCTCATTCTATGGTTACTAAAATATATACAAAAAAACTGTCAAGTGTTCACATAAAATCAACTGGTTGAGGAGAGAGGGAAATGGTTTGTTGTGAGCATGTTTGCAGTTGTAATAAGACTTAGCACACTGGATTCCTGAGTAAGCAGTCTGGGTTTGAATGTTGACCAGTGTTTTTGAGTTGTGCTCTTAAACAAGACAATATTTTTGGAGGGGGTGGGGGTGGGCAGTTTTCTGGCACATGAAACTTTTTTCTCACCTCAGTTAGGTTGTGCATGATTTCTTTGATGGGCAAATTAAGTTGTGCAATAATTCTTTTTTTTAACTGATATCAAAAATAGCACCTATATAGTAGAATTGAGCACTTGTTTGATTTCTTCCCCAATTGGCTTACCTTACACGATTTCTATTCTTTTATTGTAGTTTAAGTTAGGAAGATAAGTATAGCTAGTTGATTATCATAAATAGACTGATGGAAATACCATGTATATAAATAAAGTTGTCATATTGTATTGTATCGTATTGAAGACTGCCACCATCAACTCCCCCTCCTGCCACTCCAACATATAAACAAGCTGTATTGAGCTTTAAAAAGCTATATATCTTGTTTACATGTTGTAGTGGCAGGGAGGGGAGTTGATTGTGGCTGTCTTTGATACACAACAAAAACACCCTTAAGGCACTGAGAAGAAAGATACAAAGGTCACACATAATGATTTCGTCAAGAAAAATATCCCTGTAAGCAGACAGATTCCAATCAATACACTGTAAGTAAGTGAAGAGGAAATAAAATGGTCACCATACACATTAGATAAATAGTTTACCTCTGTGTCATATATGTTCAATGCACTTTCATAGTCTCCCTGGGAAGAAGTAAGAAAAAAACAAGATGAAAAATGTGAAGACAAATTGATGATCAATTTTATTCCACGAAGTTGTTGGTGTTGAGCAAGTGTAAGTCTGGCTCTTATTAGAATAAGAGGGAAAAGGAGTGCTCTGTAATACAAAGATTACGGATAAGTCACCTTCACAAACTAGTTTCATGACATCATGACTGTAGCAAACCCAGGCTTTTACAGCCAGGATTTGAAAAGTGGCCTCCAAAATGTGCCATAGCGCCCACTCAAATGAACAATTTATGGGGCAACATATGAAAAATAATTAGATTTTCTTTAACAAGTGGCCATCTGCAGGACACCTGGACGCCCATCTGGCTAAAAGCCTGAGTGAATCTGACAAAACATTTATGCAGAACTCACCTTTTCAACATAGTACAAAGCCCAGTGCCAGAAATTATGGCACGTCAAAGACTCACAAGGCTGCAATGAAAAGGAAACCAAATGTTATTATTATGTGCATTGTTAGGTTTTCTTTTCTATTATTTTATGAAGGTAGTTTAATTTGAGGTGGCAGGTACATACTGTCTCTCTCTCCTCAATTTGTCAAATGACTCCAAGAAGATTCCTATAGTATGTTGTAACCGGTTTTTAGTTAAGAACCATTGCAACTTTTTTTCCCTGGATGCCTGTTCAGTTCAATCTCTAGTGAATTACAAACTCAGCTAATTAATCTGTGCACTGAGCCGTAAAAATATAATGTATGTGTTACTCCAGCAATGAATTATTCATTCAGTGATTTATTCTTTCCATCCCCCTCCAAAGTTGTTTTGCTTTGAACCATGAGTTTACTTATTGACTATTTGCTCATAAAAGACTCAGGCTCGTGTCTATGTATATTAAAACAATTAGACTACCAGCTGCGTGTATACATGTACTGGACATACAGTGGGCTACGTAGCTGTTTAAGTAGTAATTGGCACCCATTGCAGACCTATGGTACTATGATATTAAAGAAACACACCTTCCAGTTATCCATAGTTTTGCTCAAAAATTCAATTCCTTCATCTTGCCGGCCTTCCATCTCCATAACATGTGTTAAGGCATGAGTAGCCCAGGTGTCTGTTGGAACAAGCTCGAGACCCTAGAATATAAAACTAATGCAATTATAATTTTAATTATAATATTAAAATATTAAAATATTATAATAATTATAATGATATACCTAATGTTAGTATAAATCTACTAACGTTCTATGATGAATGCCATTCTCTGATTAGCTACGCTAGTCACTATCTATCCTGTGTTAGTAGAATTCTACTAGTATACTAGTGCAAATGCTGTAATCTGATTGGCTGAGCCATTGAACACTATCAGCCACTAGTGTGCAGTGGCTGGAGGTCATCTAGGAAATGGCGAGGTTTTTTTTTTGCTTTTCCAAAGTTTTGGAGGAAAATTTGGATGCAAATAGATAATTAAATTCCTGAAAAGTCTAAATGAAGGACATTTACGGTTTCTTGACTTTTAAAAAAGTTGAAATTATTGAAAAAACTGATGTGCATGCGCACACAACTCAATTTCAAAGGACAATTCAATTTGAGCGACCTTTTTAAGGCGTCAAGAAATAATTGAAAACCGTTATTTGAAGTAAATTTTAGTGAGAATTCTACTAAAACAATTAGATTATTCACTCTCCATTTCTATGAGGTGATGGTTGATTCAGCCTTCAGCCTCATCAACTGTCACTTCATAGAAATCTCGAGCTCATAATTTAATTGTTTAATAGGAAGTGAGTAGCGTATATGTAGCACTCAATCTAGTGTCTCTTTGTTAACAAAATGACAGCCGCTCCTAGCGTTTTCAAAGTATCTGTGAAGAGGATTTAGATAAAGTTTTGAACGACTAGTAGAGTACTAAAGGTAAAGTCTGCGTACGAGCCAAGTAGCCCATCAGGCC